TCCTGGCTTGTATCAGGAATAGTGTGGCCAGCAGGAGTAGGGCAGAGATTGTGCCCCTGTACTCAGTGCTGGTGAAGCCACACCTTGAATACTGTGTTCAGTTTTGGGCCCCTCACTACAAGAAAGATGTCGCATTGCTGGAGCATGTCCAGAGGAGAGCCACAAAGCTGGTGAGGGGTCTGGAGCACAAGTCTTCTGAGGAGCGGCTGAGGGAACTGGGGTTGTTTAGTCTGGAGAAGAGGAGGCTGAGAGGAGACCTGATTGCCCTCTACAACTACCTGAAAGGAGGCTGTAGGGAGGTGGGAGTAGGCCTCTTCTCCCTGCTAATGGGTGACAGGATGAGGGGAAATGGTCTGAAGTTGCGCCAGGGCGGGTTTAGGTTAGGCATTAGGAAAAATATCTTCACAAAAAGGGTTGTCAAGCATTGGAATGGGCTGCCCAGGGAAGTGGTGGAGTCCCCATCCCTGGAGGTATTTAAAAGACGGGTAGCTGAGGTGCTTAGGGGCATGGTTTAGTGGTGTGATGGCAGGGTTAGGTTAACAGTTGGACTTGATGATCTTAAGGGTCTTTTCCAACCTAAATGATTCTATGATTCTAAGTAAGAAAGAAAATAGATGCCTAAAAATAAAAGAAAACTCTTAGCCTTTTTTAAAGCTGAACAACACCACTGAGCCAAATATCCCATTGCTAAATCTATGCACACTTGTTTCTATACACCTCATAATGACATAGCATCTTCTTAAAGATCACTAACATAATAAACTGATATTAACTGAACAAGCTGTTTGTTAGTATGCTACATCCAGAAACCCAAGTAAGATATGTCCCCCACAAACTCATGACAATATACGTGACACAGACTGACAATAATGTACATTGAATATACTAACTTTGTTTAAAATGGGCATGTTAAAAAAATTGATACAAAAAACCCCCAGTATGTGACAATGGATCTCTTGCAGTCAGGGCATAAAAGCTTGCAGGTCAACCACGCCAAATGAAGACTGGCCTACGTAAGAAGAAGGGATACAGTGCTGCATCTTTGGTACATGATATTCATCAAAACTGCTGTACAAGCCTTTTTAATATAAAAAGACGGTTATTGCGTGAGGCAGATTCTCATTCTGGAAAGTGGAATGTGAGGTATACCTCAAAAACATGGTTTGATTCAACTGAGTAGCTACCTGGTCCTTGCACACATTTTTAAGCAGGTTTGCATTTAATAGTGTGCTTCTGTGTTCTGAACTATTAGTCTTAAATAAGCACTTTTTTCTTTATGCAAGTGAACATACTCATGTGGCTGCATTTACCTTTAAAATACTATAATCTCATGTCATTCTTTAGTGAATTCAGCAAGATTTTAGCACATGCTTTTTTTTTAAATATATTTTTTTCTTAATCTCTAGAGCTCTCGGTTTCTCTTTTAGTATGTCATTTAAGAGTTATGTTAAAGCACATGGATTGTTTATCCTAAACTTGATAGTGACATTTCAGGCAACCAAATTTAAAAGCTTGAACTTTTCCTGTCACTTTTTTATAAAAGCACGTCCATATAAAATAGTTCTGCAGGTTCAGTAGTGTCAACACCACTGATCATAAGATGTGCTATAGTTAACTACCTTGATTAACTGAAAATGTAATGTTACGCTGTCATTATGAGAAATGTTCAGCATTCATACAGATGCAGCATATGCTGAGGACGAATAATATTCTGAATACTTCAACTATTTTATTTAAAGTAAAAGTTTTAAAAAGCTCAGTCCATACTGCATGACTTATTAGTAAGCATTAACACATTTGCACTACTCCTATCTAAAACCGAGAACTACCCCACAGGCATACTTACAGCTTGTCATGAAGCAGTTCTCCTAACTTCAGTTCTGCAAAGGAACAGAACAGGGTAAATAATTACAATCATCCTTCTAGTGCAACTTTTCCAGGATAGTCTTGTCACTCACCAGACTGTCTTATGCTAAGAGAGAACAAGGTGTGGGAAGCAGACCAGACTTTTCTACTCCATCTTCATTTGCTTTTACTTAAAAAGCACTTTCAGGACTGAAAGGCTAAAAAACCCCCGTTGTTTACAGTCTTTCCTCATCTCTCTCTGTTACTCCAACAATTAAAGGGGTTTTAGAATTACCAAATAGTAGCATCTGAATAGCCCGGAACACAGGACAGCAGTTTTCTGTGCTCCTTTATGCAGATGTCTAATTTTTTCCAGGGAGTTTATTGACAGGCTTGTTTTCCTCAGTATTTTTAAATGAAGCCTTTAGATGGGTATACAAACAGTGTTTCACCAACATGTGGGAATTATTTGATGGCATAAGGAAATTGCGTTTATCATTATGTAGTATTGTGTGTGGTATGTTGCAGTTTTGTATTTCCTTACCACTAATGTCATCACAAAATCAGTTGAAAAAATAAAGTCACTGTCATGGCAAACTAGCCCTAATAACAATAAAGGCCCTGTTTAAATGGAAGCAACCGCTTCCCTGTGGCTGGGATGCAATGCATCTCCTCAGAAGCTCAGCCTTGTCTCCCAGATGAAAAATGATGCACTGACCAATTAAATTAATAGAACATTGGAACTTACAGATCAAAAAATGTACAGGAAAAAACAGAGTGTTGATTCTGCATGGATGAATGAGGTTTCCATTTGGCAGAAGAGATAGGAAGAAATCTTTGCAAAGCAAAAAAAACAGGTGCAAAAAAGCGTTAAATGGAAAAACATGACTTAAAAAAGGTATTTATGGAATCTGGAAGAGGAAGCAAGGTGAGGTTCTGATATTTTCAACCTCACAGTACGTTAAATACAGGGGAACACAGAATCAATGTAGCCCATTCATCTGGAGCTTGAACCTGCATCAAACTATTGCTTGAAACACCTCTAAGAACTATGCTTAGTCCTCCAAAGGATTCCAAGTTTTCTCAGAACACAAGCAGTACAACTCACCTCTACAAGCTTCTTCAAAATCCTGGGTTATATCTATCCAGCTTGTGTTACTCTTTTCCATCTTGTCAGCCATACCAAGTTCCCATCCTGAATCATCATCTTCTACTGAAGCTTTCATAACCATGATACTGCACCTTTAAATCTGTATCAGAGAGATGGCACATTATGCGCTAATTAGAGAAAGTGTCTCCGGGGAGTATTTTGTTTTTAATTTTCAAGTATCAAGTGAGAAAGGGAGACTACCTAACTTGATTTCATTTAAACAGCTACCATTACATGAAACCAGCCCCAAAAGCTTATTAATAAAAATTATTTTTAAAAAATGTTTTCTTATCCACCAGGTCTCTACAACTGGCTTGTAGGCTACGAAACCTCAGAAACTAAGGACATGAGAAGTTTAGGAGTACAGAGCCATAATAAAGCGTGTACTGTCAAACTGGAAATAAAACAGGAAACAATGCCAAGAAATCATCCCTCAAAACAATGTAGATATCACAATTTTTTTTGGTTGTTTTACACTATTAGATATACACATCCTCCCACTGCTCTGTGAAAGGAATTAAAAAAAGAGAACAGTAAAATGGACTGCACAAGTTTGTTATTCATACAACATGTATCCAAACAGATTTGTGAAAATGGGCATGTTTCATGTGACTTCTTCAACAGAAAGTAACATCAAGATTAACACACGACTGTTAAGCAACTTCAGACTGGAATATAATTTTTAAACTTCACCGACTAGTTATTTCAAACCGTTTTTGTGCTTTCGCAATCTCACGATACACGGGGCAACCCTGAAGAATTTTATGTTTTGCCAGTCAGGCTGCCTTTGAGGTATCAGCAGTGCGAGATCTCCCCTTACCTGGTCAGAGACCTTGCAAGAGAGTCTTAGGAGCCCGGCGAGCTCTGAACAGCTCAATCAAAGCTGCCACGGAAACTTCAAGGAAAGCACCCCCCCGTGACACCAGACCTACCCAGGCATCAGTAAGTAACAAAAACAAAGGGGAGGGGATCAAACGGATTTTTAAAACTAGTCCAGGAGTCCCTTCGCCCAGGCGATGCTCAGCTTCCCCTCGCCCCCTGTCAGTATGCCACTAGCCCTCCAGCGACCGCAGGGACCGCCAGGCTCAGCGTGCTGGGATGAAGAAATACGTGGGAAACTAATTAAAATAAATGGAAATCACGGTTGAATCTCAGACATTAACGCCAGCACAGCCAGACTCTCCTGGGCTCTCCGCTTCCCGCGGGCCACCCGGCCCCAAACCCGGCGCTGTCCCGGCCCCGGCCGCCCCACAGCTCAGCGGGACTTGCTCAGGCAGGGGGGGGCCCCC